TAAGAAATGAAATAAATTATAATAAAATAAAATAAAATAAAATAATTACCAAAAAAATTAATTTGTAAAGATTTTATGTTGAAATGGATTTTTTTTCTCCAATGTATCTCTTGCTAATACAAAAAAACAAAAGTTACGTATTTATAATTAAGATCATGAAATTGGTTAATTAATTTAATTTTGTATATATATAAAAACTGTTTTAAAAAAAAACTTTTAAGTTAAGATTTGTTTTATGATAAACAAAAGTGTATAGCTCTTAATTTATAAATTATTTGTTCATAATTCATAAAATATTATAATATGACTTGTTAAATAAAAATAAAATTTGAACAAAAGTAAATAGATTATTGGTTAATTATGTTTTTCATCCCTATAAAAACAACATTCTTTGAGATAAGTCATTAAAAAAAATTGTTAAGATTTTGTCCCTGATATTTTTAAAATACAAGGATTTAGTCTTTGCTGTTAAATGTGCTTTGTTAAGTGACGGAGCTGGATAATAGAATCCAACTCATTGTTGCCATGTTATTATTATTTTTAATATTTTATTATTTAAAATTAATATTTGTAAACAAGTTCTTTAACATATTTTAAATATTTGCAGAAAAGTTCCTAAAACTCTATCTCTATTCCGTACTTACCATTGCACTTTCTCTTCCTTTGTTGCCATTGTCGCCAAAACCTTATCCCAAGCCCAAGCCCAAACCCTCAACCCTCTCCCCCTCAAGGTTGTGTTTTATGCCTCCCTCCTCCAAACTTGCACCAAAACTTCTTCATTCTCTCAAATGCTAGGCCTTGGCATCCAATCCAATACATTCACTCTCTTTTCCTTCGTCCTAGCCTAGTCTGACCTTGGCAACTTCAAACTTAGAAAATGCCTCATGTCATTGTATTGAGTCATGACTTTCATTCTAACAGTATCATCCCCAATGCATTGATTAACATGTATGGGAGAAATAATGTGGCGGTCTGCGCCTAGAAAGTGTTGGACAAATTGCACGAATGAGATGCAATGTGTTCAACGAATTTTGGAAATGCTTAAGCACATGAATTTGAGTTTTTCCAAGAACCTAAAGCAATTCCTTAATTTTTCTGGGGTTCCAAATATTGAAACATTGGATCTTGAATTTTGTAGAAGCCTAGACAAAGTCCATCCATCCCTTGTACATCACAAGGCACTTGCTGCATTGTATTTTGTAACATCTTTAAATTGTAACATAATTTGTAGTGAAGAAATGTTAATACTGCACATACTTTTTTATAGTTATGGTTAAAAGAATGGAGGAAAAGATAAAACTTTTATCCTATTATTCAATTTTGCAAAAACTTAAAAGTATTCAAACTTTTCAAAGGAGACATTTATAAAACTTACATTTGTAAAGAGGATAAAAACTAAAACTTTCTTTTTAAGATTCATACATATAAATTTGAAACATAAACAATACTGTCTTCTGGTAGAGTAAATTTTTATTTAAAATGAATATAAATTACGATTACATAATTTTATCAATTTAAACTAGAAACTTATTGAAATATAACAATTTTAAATAATTTAATAAATCTAATGAGTTATAATTTATTGCTTAACTGACCATTAGATTTAAGTTATATGAAAGACTCAGATTAGATGTAAGAGTTTTTAGACTTACACTAGTGTAAGAAGATCTTTACCTATATATATATATAATGCTGAAAATATTATCTAATATGCATTGATTAACAATAACACCTAGATCATACAAATCATTATCTCAACGAAGCACATACAAAAAATTAATCATATATGCAAATATTTATATCATACATTTTCACACTAATACGTATGTCATAATAAATGTATTATATCAAATCAATCAATATGTTACAATACATGTGTCATAATCGCACTCGTCAATGTATTACAACACATATATTATAACATCAATCGATATGTTACAACACATTATAATCACACAATTTCTATACTATTTTATATCCATCATCATTTCATAATCATTACTCCTGGGATCCCTTGACAACTTCATAGCATAAATAGTTACTGGTTAGCCGTTACACATGGATAAAATGTGTGCTAACCCGACCTTTTTTAGCTAAAGTGTGGTCAGGGTTTTAAGTCAGGAAATGAAGGTGAGGCTTATGGTGTCTTTTCCCTCTATTTTCATTAATTATCCACATTTAAAGAAAAACATCCTCCACCCTCATTTCTCCCAAATTTTCCAAATCGCCCCTGTCTTCCATACTCCTAGTGTATCTATGACTATCTATACTTATTCAACATTTCTCATATCATTCTTTTTCTCATCATTTCTCATTTCATTCTCTTTCTCATTTCATTTCTACATACTTTTCATAGATTAGCATGTCATAATAAGTGAGTTATGATTATATAAATCAATGTATTATAATATCTGTATCATAATCACATGTATCAATCTGTTGTAGCTCAAGTATTATAATCAAACCTCTCACAATTCCACAATCATGTCATATTAATCACTTTTCATCAATAACATAAATCCACTCATTTCAACATCCATCAGCCCTCAAATAAACATTCATATTTATTGTATCATATTAATCTAACACAAAAAATCATCAAACAATTTCACATCACGCAGATCAATATAATGTGCCAAAGGTCAAACACTTCTAGACTCAAACCAATTTTACAATTCAATATATACACTTTCTTTGTATTAATAAAGTTGTCTATCCTAAAGTTTGGCATCATCCAATATTCACTGTATGTTTATTATTCAAAAATATCAAATATCAAATTTTAACTACCTCTAAACAATGTTCACTAGTAGAATCATAATAATATTTCTTAAAAATAGTTCTATTTAGAGCCTTTGCTATAAATTGTATTTAACTAGTTCTGAAAATAATTATAGATTTTTCATGTCAAAAATCTCTATTCCTACATTTGAGATTTTAAGAAAACATTAAGATTTTAGGGTTCTAATAGAAAAACTTAATAATTTCAAGTCAAAATACCAAAAAGGAGTTAGGATTTGGGATCAACTCCTTTCACCTAGAAATGGGTCACTCAGATCGAGTTTTCCTAGATATCCAATGGAGAGTTATAATGTCCTAAAGGAGGATATCGTCTTAAGCATTAAGGTTTCTTTAAGCATCGCAAAGTATAAAACTTTAGATTAGAGAAAAGTGAGAAATATGAATGAAGTTAGAGAACCAAGCTTTAAGAAACTTTAGATCTGGAAGAGATTCGGGGTTCGAGAGAATTTTCTCTGATAAGAGAAGGTGAGAGAACAGAGAGGAACTGAGAGGGAAGGTTGTTTAGTGAGAAATGAACATTTTTAGGGTTGAAGTTTCTTAAATACCCCTCCGAACAGTAGGTTCTCGCTTGAGTGAGCCAATTCTTGCTTAAGCGAGCTCAACTTTCACCTAAACAAGACTATCCTCGCTTGGGCGAGAAAACTAGACAGTTGAACTACTCAATTTTCTACTATTTTTGCTTGAGCGAGCAACATTTCACCTACGTGAGAATGGTTTCAGAGAGCTCTCTATTTTTTTGCGACTTCTTGTCTGGGTGAGCTCCATCTTGCCTGGGCAAGCTGCTTCTTACCTGAGTGAGCCCCCTTCTTGCTTGGGCAAAAGGGCAGTTGGGAGAACTTTATCCTATCTTACTTGAGCGAAAATGCTCAAGAACGTTTATTTTTAGAAAAATCTATCTCACTTGAGCCAGAAATCCTGCACCAAAATCCTTATTTTTCTCATGCAAGGGCAACAAAATTGAGGGTGTTACATATTTGAGTTATTGCTAAAGTCTTAAAGTTCTTCCAAGTAAATTGGAAATGATTTCCTCAATGAAGCTATTTCCTGATGGTTGCTTTGAATTCAAAATCCTTAAAAGGTTGGGGAAAGTATGAAACATTTGTTAGTGCTTACTTTGGAGGGAACTATAAGAAAACTTTCCACCTAAGTCAAATGTTTAGTTGACCTTAAGGTTTTGAACTTGAAGATTTGCAAGCTTCTTGCTTCCCTTTTAGTAGCATGCAAGGATTATGTTCCTTGAAGAAGTTAGTTCTTTCTCATTGTTCTAAATTTTGAAATCTTCTTGAAGATGAAACAAATATAAGAGAACTTTACTCATGACTTGGAGGCTTAGTTAGCCTTATTCGTTTGGATTTAACATATTACAAAAACCTTGTAGCCTATTAAATACCATTGATAGATTGAAGTCCTATATATTTATGAATGCTAGATGGTCAATAAATTATCATTTTATGAGAATGAGATGTTGGTGTTTAAGAATCAACCAACTTAGTAGATTTAATTTCCATCTTTTCTCTTGAATCTATCTTCTCATACTCTTTGAAATTATCTTTTTGTAATTTATATAAAAAACTAATTCTACATGATATTTCCAACCTGCTATCATTGAAAAACTTGTGACTAAATGATAATAAATTTGTTATTGTGCCAATAAACATTTCTAAACTTTTATAGCTAGAACTTTTGTTGAGTCATTGTAAAATTCTTCTATAATTGTTGTATCTTCCATAAAGTATAAAGGACTCTTTTGTAATATAATTTTTTTTTATAAATATTAATTTTAAAATAATAAAAATTAAAAAAATAATAATGTTAAAATACTTATCCAAAGAATGTTCTTTTCTGGGGCTAAAATCATAATTATTTAATAATTTTTATTGTTTAAAAATTAAAATATTTAAAAAAATTCAAATTAAATATTTATTATAAAAAATTATTAATAATATACTTTTATCTCATTTTATTTAATAAATTTTTAATTGCTAACTAAAATTTATCAAATTTTTTTAAAATATATAAATTTTACTCTTAGTTTAATTTAATAATTTTTACTTATATTTTTGGTAATTTTAATTAATAATTGAAGTATTATTAAAAGTGTGTGATTTAAATATTTTATCCTTTAACGCACCTGTCTAAATGAGAGAGAGAGATTCAGTAGGTCCTTTACCTTAAAACTCTAGAGTTAAATCAAATTGAAAAGAAGCACAAGAGTTGGACAACACAGACAGGAAAAAAGAAGGGGGTGGATCGGTTCCTACCCCAACCCAATCGCTAGGAGTTTCAGACAAAGCGCGATAGGTAATTTTCTTATCTTCTCCAATCTCTGATTTTTGAGCCCTTCAGTCTTTTCTTTATATATGCGATTTTGTTCTTCAGTCTTTTCTTTTCTATTCTTTGTCTTTCTCCATTGCATGTTATGAATCTTGATATGTCTAGGTTACTTGGATCAACCGTGCAATAAATAATAATTAAGAAAAATAAATGAAAGAATATGGCGTTTTGCAAATTTGAATAAATCACAAGAGGGACAGATTTCATAAATGTTGCTACCTGTCCAAGGTTATCGAATTCTTGATTCTGTTCAAACATCACTTGATTTGTACATAATCTGTTCCTGTTTATTTATTTTGAGATGAAGAATTTTGTTTTTATTTACTGTAGAAGTCTAAGACAATGTTAATTATTATTATTTTTAATATTATTTTGCTCGTATACAATTTTTTAAGTATAGTAAATAAAGCATTTATACTAGTAGTCCAAAGATAAGAAAGAAAACCACTAACAAAAGGGTAATTTAGGAAGTTTATTCTCTCTGAGGACAGATGAATAAGAATGGATGTAGTATTTCAAAAGCGTAGTCGTAGTATCAGCGTTGTGTTCGAGAAAACCCCAAAATCAGTCCTAGATATTGTATGGGTTGGCATTTTAGTTGCTGAAATTTTAAAAATTTTCCCTTATTCTTGACTTTACAAAATTGCATTTATTTTAGTTCTTTTTTTGTGCAAAACGACAGTGAAAATTAAAGGGTAAAAGGGTATAAATAAATTAATTTTTGTATCGTCAGGGGCTAACAGAAGATAATGGTTTGAAGTAGTGTACCTTGGTTTTCCTGCATTTCAGGTTAAGTGCTTAAAATTTCTGGTGATGTCCTTGACTCACACACTTATGTCCTTTTAGAGGATTTAGTAGAACTTGTGAAATAGAAATTTTCATTTTTCATGGCTGCTGCATTGTAATTGCAGAGTCAATAGAGAAAAGCCATCTTTCTATTGTGGGTTACGGATTGCAATCTCCCTCTTCAATTTGGACAACTAAAACAGGTTTGCCCTGTTAAATGTTCTAGAACACTAGTAATATGTTGTCTATTAAATTTGTTTATTTTGTTTAAATAGGTTTCTTATGTTTTATTACAGCACACTTGATTTTCACCTGGGTTATTGAAGTCAACATAACCTAAGTGATGATAAATGTTTAACTGCAACATCAACTATAAGATTAGCAAATGTTAAGTGGTTTACTCATGTTATTTATGCTCTAAGGGTTATTACATGTGGTAAGGGTTATTTTATATTTCAATACAACCTTTCACATTTCTCCCAACTTGTGTTTGTTTATTGTGGAAACAATAACCCAAGTCAATAGCCTAATGTCACAACCCTCAAATGCTATTTATCATGTAGTTACATGTGAAATGATGATAGGCCTATGGGTCAATAGAATAGTGGGCCCCATAAATGACAGAACACACATGGAGGGGATGTGAATGCGGAAAGACCATTGAGTATTTTTTTGTCATTATGGGAATTAAGAGCTTGTTACTTGGAATAGGAGGTTAATTCCTCTAGTTGTGCTGCCTTTTTGATTGTGTAACTCAGAGAAATTTCTTCTGTTACAGAGCATCTTCTCTTTAATTAGTAAATAATAATATCATATGGTTTTGTGTTTTCCCCTTTGAATCTATCAAATGTAGTAATTGTTAAGGAGTCCTTTAATCAACATGCACAAACATTACAAATAGAACCAGGTTTTATAATCCAATCAAAGTTGTGGCTCATGAAATACATATCATTCACACAAAATCACCTCTTAACTATTATTAATTGGTGGTTAAGCATGTATTAATTATCATAAAACATAATATGCAATAGGGAAAATGAATTTATTAAATGCTCCCACAACTAACAAATTTTGATAGCCTTGGTTTCAGGAGTAATTGCACGATTTAAAGGGTAAATTTGGGACAAGTTCTTAAGAGAGCAACAAGTATTGTTTCAGTCATGGATCAGCAACGCACACACACATAAACACAAAATCCTTGTTGAGAAAGTGAAGGATCATGTGCCCTATTTTGGAGTTGTTGATGCACAAACAGTGAATAAGAGAGTCATCTTACATCCACATGGTATGAGGTTTGATTGCATAAAGTATAAATATATAGAAACAATGTGACAAGCACAACACACTTGAGATTTTAGCAAGGGTTCATGGCTCATGGGGGAGAAAATGATTCTGAACTAGCACAAAATGCTTTCCTTGGAACTCAAAATAAAAGTAGTCATTAAATTTTAGTCAGAAAAAGGGAGAGTTGTCCCTTGAGTGGTGACTTGTTAACAACTTCATGTCCTCTATCTTCTTTTTCTTCATTTATTCTTCTTCCCTTCTCAAGTATTTCTCATTTTTAATAGATATCAAGGTTCTCTCTATTCTTTCTTTTTTTCTTCGTATCTTCAGTCATCTCCCTTCCCTCTTATTAAATTAATGTGTTACATGTTTTACAGGTTTTTTCTTTCTTTGGTTTAAACCACATATTCCCTTCAAAGGATGTTGAGCTTATAGGTTATTTTCAAATGTTTGAAAATTTAAATGAAAAAAATTTAATATTTAGATTAAGATACTATTTTTTTTTTTAATTCTCGAAACATACTTTATATTTTAGAGGGTGTTACTTGTTCCATATTCCATCCTGACTTTTCCCTCTTTTGCAGGATATCTTATCCCCACAATTATTGAATAATAATGTAAAACATGTTTATAAAAAGAAAAAAAAAATGTAATCACAACCTTGTGAAATAGTAATTGGATTTTTTTTTGTCTGAATGTCAGAAATTACTGTTTGATTATTCCATTTGGAATTAGACCTGACTGAAATTTCTGAAATTTTGAAAGTTTCAATTGAATTAATTAATTTTGTGGTGGCTAAAGTGAAAAGTGGATCAATTTTCAGGATTGAAAGTCTAGTTATCTCGCTTATCCCGTTGCGAAGTCACTGAAAGAAGTGATAACACAACACTGATGAATAACACTAAGACACTCAAGTCTTCAAGTTCTGAATTGGATCTTGATCAACCCAACATCGAGGATTACCTCCCTTCTGGGTCTACCATTCAACAAGAACCTCATGGAAAGCTTTTCCTGTATGCCTCTTCTTATTCCTTGTCTTGCTTGTATTTTGGATAGTAAACATAAGTGGGAAATGAACAAGCAGTAATTTCTTCACTTGATCTTTTTGGAGAATGGAGTTTCAGCCATCATTTTAATACTCCTATTTTTCTTCCTGATACCTTTTTCAGGCATGATTTACTCGACATTTCCCCTACTTTATCTGAGGCGGCTGGTGCTATTGTAGATGTAAGCTTTTGCCCTTATCTTTTATTTTATTTTTTTGTTTTTGTGGTTTTTGATGTCAGTATTTTCTTCAAAGAACCAATGAAATTGTGATGGCCCCCGTGGGCCTCCAATGAAAGTGTATCGTAGAAGGGAGAAAAGGTATAATATAGGAGCAACATTGGAAATGATGTGGAAAATTCTGTTACGCTAAATGGTAACTGTTTAGAGAGAAAAGATTGAGAGACATTATGTAAAATCCATGTGTTTGATACACAGTGGGGAGCTTTATTTATAATGAAAAAGTAAGAATTACAAAATATCTATTACATATTTACCACAAATGATGCTATCTAATGTAATAAATAAATATTTCCTATTTATTTACAATTATTCTCAACACTCTTTCAAGCTGGAGCCATATAGATCATATGCACCAAGTTTGTTACATTATAACTAAGTGGTTCCCTTAAACATTTAGAGAAAATGCTTGCAAGTTGATATTGGTCTCCCTAAACTTCAACTCTTGAAGTAATTGCTTAAGCCATATAAACTCATAAGTAGCTGAGACAATTTGTGCCCTTGATCTTGCAACCTCCAATAAAAACAACATACCCTAAAGTGGACCTTTTGTCAGTGAGATAAGCTGCCCAATTTGCAACACAATATCCTAGAATTCAAATATGACCTTTGTCTTTGTAGAATTAAGAGAGAGAGAGAGAGAGAGAGAGCATAGAGAGAAAGACAGATTAATGTGCTGGAATTGGATGCTCTCCAATGTGTAGAGGCTTTTATATTTATAAGGATACATATGTAACCTTACTGGGCAAGCCCATTATTATAATACTAACATAAACCCTAATCCTAATACGTTTATTATAGCTATTCATAACACTTCCCCTCAAGCTGGAGCATAGATATTAATTATGCACAGCTTGTTACAAATATAATTGCTATGAGTCTCATTTAAAGCTTTTGTAAACACATCTGCTAGTTGGTCGCCTGTCTTAACATGAGAGATAGATATAAGCTTCTGCTGAACTTTTTCTCGAATAAAGTGACAGTTTATCTCAATATGTTTTGTTGGTTCATGAAAAACTGGATTTGAGGCAATGTGTATCGCTGCCTGGTTATCACACCAAAGTTGCACAGGCTTAGTGCTACCAAATCCTATCTCTTCCAACATATTTTTCAACTACATTAACTCACAAGTAGTCTGAGCCATCGCTCTATATTCTGCTTCCGCACTTGATCTCGATACAACGTTCTGCTTCTTACTTCTCCATGAAATTAAATTACCTTCCAAGAACATACAATATCTGGCAGTAGATTTTCTATCTATAGATCTTGCCTAATCAGCATCAAAAAACATCTCTATCTATGCATGTCCATGATCTTTGTACACAATTCCTTTTCCTGGTGCTTTCCTCAAATACTTCACAATGCGGATTAGTGCTTCCTAATGAGTATCTGTTGGATATGACATAAACTGGCTAACAATACCACTGAAAAAGCAATATCCGGCCTTGTGACAGTCAAGTAATTTAGCTTACCCACTATTCATCATTTCCGTCTCTCCCAAAATATATCCATTGCATATTTATTCTGAAAGATAACAACGCCATGTTTAGATTGTGCCACTTTAACCCCCAAGAAATATTTTGTTTGAAAATGTTGACAAAGGTGTTGCTTCATTTGTGTGATTCCATGATCAATACATGTAATAACAATGTCATCAAGATGATCAAATATATGTTTCCAATAGAGGAGTGATAATAGAATACAATGATCCACTTCACTTTGGACCATACTATTGAATGACTGTGCAAAATCTACCAAATTAGGCACAAGGAGATTGTTTCAAAGCATATAAAACTTTTTATAGGTGATAAACATGTCCAAAACACTCTCCTTGAGCAACATTACCTGAAGATTACTCCATGCAAACTTCTTCCTAGAGATCACCATGAAAGAAACACTTTTTATATTAACTGATAGACGGGCCAATGGCAAATGGCAGCCACGGATATGAGCACAGAGGGCATTATAGGAGAAGGTATTGCCATAATCAAGGACATAAATCTAAGTATAGCCTTTAGTCACAAGGTGAGCTTTAAGACTATCAACCGTACCGTCTGCACCGACCTTAACGATAAAACCCACTAACAACCAATGGATTTTTAGGAGTAAGGGGAACCAAATCCCATGTACCATTCTGCTCATTTCATTGAGCATTGCCTGTTTCAACCAAGATGAACAAGGGCATATCCTATTTTCTTAGGAACAGAAATAAGAAAACAAGGAAGAGAGGCAAGAATAATGGAAAGATGAATGATGATAGCTCCATGTAACATAATGAGAAGAGAGATTTTGAATATATTGAATATCTTTCTAAAGAGTAATGGGAGCATCATTAGTTGAAGGCAGCGCCAAAGAAGACAGTAGAAATGAAACCGGTGGTGAGTCAAAAGTTAGGTGTAGTGCTGGCTAGTGGAGGTAGTGATTGATGCTGTCGACGCTGATAAACCTGCAAAGGATGATCAAAGGGAGAAGAGATAGTGTCCTCAAGTGGAAGAAAATAAACTATGTCTAACAAAGAATTAGATGAAGATTTTGATAAAAAGAAAAGTTCTGATTTAAAAAGTGTAAAACATTAGAGGAGATAATATATCAAAAAAGAGTGAGAGAGTAACACTTATACCATATCCAAGGAAGTCATACTTGAGAGAACTAATAGAGTTATCTAATCTAGGAGTGAGATATGAACAGAAAATAGAGTCCTCAAGGGGAAGAAAATGAATTATGTCTAACTAAGAACATGATGAAGATTTTGATGAAAAGAAATGTTCTGATTTAAAAAATATAATATTGGAAGAGATAATATATTGACAAAGAGTGAGAGAGTAACTCTTGTACCCATTTTGGGAGCAAAGATAACCAAGGAAGTCACACTTGAGAGAACAAATACAGTGCTTATCTAATCTAGGAGTGAGATAATGAACAAAAAATATAGACCCGAAGAGGAATAGGAGACTAATCTTTTAAAGACATTGGATGACATCCTATTGATAAGATAGTAGGTAATAAGACCAACATCGCTCCATAAATGATAAGGAATATGTGAGTGAATGAGAAGAGTCGGAGTAGTTTTAATCATATGATGATTTTTATGCTTTGTTGTCCCATTTTGTTGAGGAGTATGAGGATACGGAGTTCAAAGAAGAATGCCATTAGGGGTCACAAAGGTTTGAAACTGAGTAGATAAGTATTCACATGCATTGTCACTTTGTAATTTACATATTAGAATTTCAAACTGAGTCTTTATTTCATTAGCTAAAGACAGAATGAAGGGAATTTAAAAATGTGAGATGAGAGAAAAGGGTAGCATTACCAAACATGTGGTCAGAGGTGCTAGAATCAAGAACCCAAGGGCCAAGAGAAGGAAATTGAGAAACAAAAGCAACAGGAGTACCTGTTTGAGTCACAGAGGTGATAGGTGGGGCAGATTGCATGCCAGCCTTGTATTGGAGGTAATCTCAATACTCCAAAGTAGGAAGAGGGACCTGTGTAGGTGTAGGAAGATCTAGGGCCTGCACAATACTCAGATGTCCAAAGTGTTTGCAGTATGACACTGAACCTCTAAGTGTCCAAAGCATTTGCAGTACCAACATTGAGGCAAGGACGAGAATTGGTGTTCCACAACTTCCACCACGTCCTCCATGAGGAAAAGAGTTTATGACTAGCACACTGGACTCTATGGAAAGAGCAGGGGGCAGTGGTAGCGCAAACGATATAGGGGTGGACATACATAGGAGTTGCTCAAAGACTGAATCACATTATGGAATTGTAGGACCAGAGAGTACTTGATTGCGAACAGATTCAAGTTCTGGTGGAAGGCCTTGAAGAACAAGCACCATGAAGAACTTGCTACATTGTTGAGCATGCTTTTCTGCATCACTAATGAACGACATAAGAGCATTATATTCAATCATCAAATTGTCAAGCTTACCTAAGTAACTTTACATAATCCATGTCCTATTTCTTGATAGAGATAAGGTTGGCTATGATTGTGTAGAGATGGTGGATTTTATTGGAGTAGACTAGTTTGGCTTTCTCTCATACGTCAAAGCAGGTCTTAAAGGGGCTATATTGTTCTTGAAGTTTGGCGTCAATGGAATACCAAAGGACACTGCAAAGCAAAGCATCAAATTGCTTCCAATGGTCACATTTGTCATCAGCAATCTCCTTGGCCTACATGGTGAGATGGTTTTGGCAGGCTTGTCCTTTAACCAAAGTTTAACGGCTATTGCCCAAGAGGAATAACTTACAGTTCAAACAAGCTTCTCACATGGGATCAACGGTACAGGGCTGAAGGTCACAACAACATTCTCCGAGGTTGACATCGCAAACACAATGTGGAGGTGAAGGAGAAAGAATAAGAAGAGAGAAAGGGGCCAAGAATTGTACCGGGCGGTGTTGTTGGAGGCTGGGAAGATGCCAGATAAGGGGTGTCCTGATCAAGATCGGTGTGAAAAAGAGAAGGACGTATGTGAACACTGGCAGTGTGTGAGGGTGCATGCAGCAGCAGTTGGCGATCCCACTCGGTCAATGGTGGTCCCCAGGGAGAGGTGCTCTGGGTCGATGCAGGAGGTTCCCTAAAAAAGTAGATGGCAGCTGAGAACAAGGCTGGGCAGTGATGCAATTGCTGTAGCAGCTGGCAAAAACAGTGGATTGAAATCAAAACTGATATCATATAGAAAAGGGAAGAGGTGTTTGAGAGTTTTCCGTGTATTGCATTTGATCCAAAGGCATGAATTTATACTAGTGTCTAAGGATCTATCTTAATTCCAGAATAAATGTGATCCTGATATTGTGTTCTTAATTACTGTATTTACATATGTGCAACGTTGATATTTTCTTCCTAGTTACCGTATTTACATATCAACAGTATTCAAACACACGGATTCATCCTGAGTCTGTCTTCTCGGTTTTCTCTTTCTCAACGATTAGGAAATTCTGGCAACATCTATTCCAATTGTTTGACACAAAGTTGAAACATAGTTCTGGTTTCCCCCCAAATTGATGGTCAAACGGAAGTGATAAATTGGACTGTAGAAGCTTATCTAAGGTGTTTCTATTGTAATTACTAATTAGAGCTCATTTCCTGAACTTTCTTCACCAGTTTTATTGTAAATGCAGTTCCTATGATATTGATAGTATTATAAGGAGAACTTAATACCAAACACAATGAGTTCTACATCTTTTAAAAGCTGAACACTGCCCTGCTGTGACAAAAATCCTTCTCTCCCAGCTTTTATGTTTCATTCTCATGTTGTTTTATGTCAATGCTGAGAATCAACAAATTTCTATTTTAAAAGCTCAATCTCAGGATAGAATGTGTACGTGTGTGTTGCACCTTGGCTAGTCTTTTGATTTTTTGCTCACCTGTTTAGAACTTTTGTGTTGGGCAGGATTCATTCACAAGATGCTTCAAGTCAAATCCTCCAGAACCATGGAATTGGAATGTTTATTTGTTTCCTTTGTGGTGTTGTGGAGTTGTGATTAGATACTTGATTCTGTTCCCTACCAGGTTAACTTATACCTAATGCTATATATCACATTCATACAGTGACTATGAAATTATGCCATTAGCATATTTTTTATGCTTGTTTTTTATCCCTTGTAGAAAGAATTAGGCACTGAGATTAAATGTCTTTGGAAAGTATAAATCTGAGGATATGATTTGAACTTCAGCTTTCACCACATCTAGTTCACCTTTTACATTTGACTTGTCTCTCTGGTGTTTTACATGTTGCTTGAGATAGAGAAAAGGCTTTCCATTGCTTGAGGAAATCCTCAGCATGACTAATTAGGTAATTATATATAGTTGATTCACAGTATCTAAATTAGGAAACTGGGAAATTGAAAAACAATACAAATCAAATCCTAGTTATACAGAAAATATACAGGCCCTGAACAAGAGATATTTCCCTTAAATAGGAGATAAAGTTAAGTGGCTTACTGTATGGTTATCCTTCCTGTCCAATTGATGTGGTCTTAATTGACTCTGCAGGGTTCTAGTGTTAACAATAGAATGGATAATATTTCTTTCATCCTTCATTTCGGTGCACTTCCTTTTAGAAGGACATGACAAGTTAAGGAGAAGTATTGAGGTGCATATTCAATTTATTCTTGCTTCATTCCATCATTTCATATTTAATTAATTTTCTTAACATTAATCTCTGTCTTGCTACTAAAACTACTGTTAATGACTATTCCAGCAGTGTGAAATATAATGAGCTCTTTGGATTTTAACTTTCTGGTTCACATTACCTTTAGGGATAATAAATTTCTCTTTCTAAGCTGTCTTTAGTGATGTTGTGTTAGGTAACCCAAAATAGTAGTTAGTCATTATATGTTAGTTAGGTACCCCATTATTAGTTAATTTAATTATAATATACTGGTTAGTTAGCGGTTAGCCTGAATTTGTTAGGAGTTGGGAAGGTTGAGATTGTAGAAGAAATAAGACATATTGTCTCATAATAAGAGGGGGTAGAGAGAGGAGATATCAGCTTGTCAATTGTGAGAGTTAGAGCCTTTGACTTTAAGAACATTGCTATGATTACATCTTTTTGACAACTCCTCAAGTTGGAGCATATAAATTATATGCACCAAGCTTGTCACATATATAACTAATCTGACCACCTCTTAATTAATTGGTGTAGACATCTGCTAGTTGATTATTATAATTTACAAAGCTAGTGGTGATGTCTCCAGATAATATTTTTTCTTTAATAAAGTGGTAATCTATCTCAATATGTTTAGTCCTCATGAAAAAACTGGATTTGAGCCAATATGTAAGGCTCCCTGATTATCATAGATAAGTGACATCTATGTAAGCCAAATAAATTCACAAGCGGCTAAAGTAATGGCTTGATACTCCACTTATGCACTAGACCGTTCAACTACATTTTGCTTTTTACTTCAGGTTACCACCAATAAAAATGTAGTAACTAGATGTAGACCTCTTATCACTAGGTGATCCTACACAATTTGTATTTGAATACCCTACAACCGGATTATGTCCTTTGTCTTCACATAAGAGACTTTTTCCTAGAACTGCTTTAATATATTTCAAAATGTGAATTATTGCATCCCAATGTCCATCACAAGGAGAGTTGAGGAACTAACTCACCACATTGATTGCAAAGGAGATGTTTGAACGAGTAACAGTCAAATAGGTTAATTTTCCAACAAGTCTTCTATACATTTCTGGATCGGAAAGTAACCCTCACCTGGCAAAAGTTTTGTATTGGGGTCCATAAAAGTATCAATAAGTTGACCCCCATCAATCTTGTTTCCTCTTTGATAACCATTGCATACTTCCTTTGGGAAGTCACAATACCACTATTGGATTGTGCTATCTCAATTCCCAAGAAGTATTATGTCTCCCAAGATCTTTTGTTTATAAGTGATGACAGGTGCTGTTTTACTTGTTCAATGACATGGGGATCATTGCTTGTAGTAATGATGTTGTCAACGTATACAATCAAGTAAATACAACTTGAGGCTGAATGACACTAGAAAACTGAGTGATCAGCTTAACACTCACTAAGTCATACCAAACTGTTGAACCACCATGCTAAGTCTACCAAACCATGTCCTTGGTATTGTTTGAGATCATTTAGGGATTTTCAAAGTCGACAGACAAATCAAGAAGACTTCCTTTGAGCAATAAATCCAAGCGGTTGCTCCATATAGATTTCTTTTGCAAGGTCACTATGAAGGAAAACTGAGAATGGGAATTTTTGAATGATGGAAAATGTATTGAATAGGCTCAGTCGAACTAAAGCTTTCTGAATTGTTTGAGCTCTCAAGTGGCTCAATTGCCCTATTCTCCAAATAATACACGCTGTCCATTCTATCTATCATAACCTTTATTTAAACTACGTCTAATGGAAAAAACAAACATCATAACCGAAAGATAATAACAGAAAAATAAAAACAGAAATTAAATTTTGAAAGCTAATCTATTTCCTAACACCTTTCCTAAACTGTTGCCTTTTATAAACTTTTAAACCCTCTGGAAATTTGTTTCTAACAAAAACATTCTCGATGTCAAGCTGATAGAGGGCCAATGTAGGATAACAGCCATAGACAAGAATAGCTGAATGGATGTCATTTTGGCTACAGTAGAAAAAGTGTCGCCATAGTCTAAGCTAAATCTCTGCGTATAACCTTTGGCTACTAAGCAAATCTTAGGCAATCAACTTTACCATCAAGACCAACCTTAACAGTATAAACTCACTTGCAACCAACAAGTGTTTTAGGCTTAATTTTATTCTCAGTTTCCTTACAAATTCTTTTCAAATCAGACAAGTACTCAGCAGTGACCTTAGGACAAAGAGCAACACCAGCACGAGAAATCCTAAGTAAATGTGCTTTCACTCTTGAGTATGAACTTTTTACCACTTTCTCACAAAAATTTCAACTCCATAATGTATCCTTTATAGTGACAAATGCCCAAAGTGGAGCATGATCATCTTGAAATTCTAATGAACCAAAGTTACTTGGAATTCAAAAATTAGACTTAGCACCAAAACTCATTTTTTGTCAACAAACGCAGCTGTTAAAAAATGCAAGAATAACATTTTTTCTTTGTTGCTGTAAAATGAATAGAAAAGAGGAAGTTTGAGAAATTTTACTGCAACTGCAATAGAGTAACGACGTTCAAAACTATTGTTGAAGTCCAGAGAAGAGGAACAAAGCTCAGAACAATTGCTGCAATGAAGCCCTAGCAGCGGCGAAGACGGTGCTTGAGGTTGTCGATGTTGCTTTGGCCGTCGTCGAGCACACCCATTATTGCTCTAGAATTGGAGAATCGATGCCTCAAGAACTTGCTTGACCAGAGTCGACGCCTCAAAACAACCTCTCCGAATCACCTTACTTTTTCAATAGTTCTCCTCCTGATGTATATATCTCATTTCCCCAAGAGATCGCAGCTCAAAGAAGCCCTAGCTGGTTTTTGATTTTGGGTGAGGTTCTGGTTGGGACGTTCCTAACTCAAACAATGAGGGAAATGGGAGAAAGATTGAAACTCCCGTTTCAATAATAATTTGACTCAAGCCGTTATTGTTTTAAGTTGAGCTGTATAAGATGATTAGGAGCCATATGTAAGCTGTATTGGGTTGGAAATTAATATTTAAAAATAAATTAATTGCCAGTGTCGGATTCCTGTCCGACACAAGTACTTTGGCTATTTAATGTATCAGGGCTTCATAAGCGCATACCTTTATGAGAAGCATTAAGGAGCTCAATCTAAGGAGGCAAGTTTGAAGGGGAGAGAGTGAGTGACACTGAAGGTAAGTTTGAAGGAGGCCCCTTAGTAGCTTGAGGTGGCATAGATGGTGGCTGATGTCAACAATGATACACCTACAAAAGATGCCATGGAGGTAGTTCTTCGGGAGTAGGAGATGAACATGGTGGAAGATAGTGGAAAGGAATAGAAGCAAGAGGACTAACAATAAAGAAAGGGACAAATTCAAAGAAAGTAAAATTAGTCAAGACTAGATAATGACGAAGGGCTGAAGAATAACATTTATAACCTTTCTAAGCCAATGTAACCAAGAAAGACACATTTGTGAGAGCGAGGTGAGAGTTTATCAAGCCTAGGAGTAAGGTTATGAACAAAGCAAGTGGACCAAAGACATCAGGAGATAATGAGTGGAGAGACTAGTGAGGATAAAAGACCGAGTGAGGTATTTGATTTTGCAGAACAAATGATGGTATTTTTTGTTAATGAGATAACAAGCAATAAGAATAACTTCACCCCATAAGTGATGAGGAACATGACTATTACACAATAGAGTATGAGCTGTTCCAATTAGATGTCTGTTTTTTCTTTCAACAACCTCATTCTGTTTTGAGGGGTAAAAGAATCCAAGAAAGAAAGAAAAGAAAGAGAGAAAAGGGAGAGAGAAGAAAAGAAACTCTTTAAGAGTTTTTCAATATTATACTGAAAAGCTAACTTCAAATTAGTTACAAAAAGATATATATAGTTGGATTTGAGTTTGTTGGGTCCAAGCCAAGTGGGCCTCTACTAAAAACATACCAGAGAAGGAGGGGTAAAAAGGGAATTATGGGCAGGGAGGCTGTTAGGGAAGATTCTAACAAAATAACAAACTGAATGACGTGAAGGAGGGAAGGAGCAGCTGAGGGAGGGATATAAGGTAGTTGATCAGAGTGAAGAGGTAAGAAATATCTGGGAAGTAATTGGGAGGGGGCTGCTACCATATGAGAAGTTCCATTTAATCATTATTACCTTTCTGCTATTTTATTTTTCTGCTGTTCTACCAGGGTCCTGAGGTTTTGGTGTTAATTTTATAAATACATTTAGTTCCTCTCAAGTTGGTATCAGAGCTCGCGATCCTGGGAGCGCCTGATGGTGTTGACTAGAATGGAGAATAGGCTGGAAAACGTTGAATGAAGCCTGGAGGGCATGCAGGTTGCTATGCAAGGAGTTCAGGAGGCAGATGGAGGAGATGATGACAGCAATGACAACCAGGTTCAAATTGGCTCTACAAGTGATGAGGGTAGAAAGGGATGGTACACACGATAACCAAGAAGGTGGTAATGGTGAGGGCGAGGCTTGAAGAAGGGAGGAAAGGGTGAAGCGGGTTCAAGTGCCCTATTTCGCGGGGGATGATCCGTATGGATTGGTGTATGGGATAGTGCGATACTTTGAAATAAATGGCATTCTCAAAGCAGAGAAGGTGGATACGGCGGTGGTATGTTTGGAAGGGAAGGCGCTCAACTAGTATCAATGGTGGGAGCTGCGGGTGCCAACAACCACCTGGCTGTTCTGACAAGCCCTGTTGGGGCGTTTCTGGTTGTCTTCATGGGACTGAAACAAAGAGGAATTTTATGGAGTAGAAGGAACAATTCGAACTATTCTCTACTCTGCTACGTTTCGTTGACGAGGAATTTATGATTAGGGCCTTCCTCAACAGCCTGAAAGAAGAAATCAAAGCAGAGGTCAGGTTGAGAGATTCAGGGGACTTGAGCACGATGATGGAGATGGCCTAGAAAGTCAGAGAAAAATAGGGTGTTAGGCCTCTTATTTGGGCCTCCTTCTAAAGGGAGTGGGTCAACGTGTAATAAGCCATGTTGGGCT